TGCAATACATCTACTGATATGCTCTTTCCACTGCTCAATTTTTGAACTTGTCAATTTTGATGTCTTTTAGTTCTACTGTTTTTTGTTACCCTTTTCCACATTCACAAAATGTTTCTCCTTGAGGACATATTCCTCCAGGGAAACAAAAAAATAAATTACTTGGGGCAAGAGCAGGTGAATAGGGGGTTGGGGCATGGGGGTCATGCCATTTTGGGTCAAAAACTGCCAAACATTCAGTGTAGTGTGGGCAGGTGTGTTGTCACCGTGGAAGACTAGGTGCCTGTTTGCTACAACTCGGGACATTTCTTCTGCAAATTGTGATGCAATCTTCTAAAAAATTCCAGACAAAAACTGGTTGACTGTTTAATCTGGAGGAACAAATTCCGAATGTACTACGAAGGACCCGCCCCCGCAAAAAAAGTTAATTTCAGGTTTTGGGGGGTGCCCTGTACATATTAAAAGACTACACCCTCCATTTACAACATAAGAATAGTGACTTCACATCCCCAGCCCCACATCCCAACTACAGAACCAAGTAAAACCAAGCAGGAGACCTGAAACCTATGTCTTACTTCAAAAGAGAACTGAAATTAATAGTTAATGAAGCTAAGATCAATAATTAAGTAAAAATGCAACTTACTGATTCTCAAATTGGAAAAGCCAGTCTCAACAACCATAAGTAGTTTTTGAGAATCATTTGTCTTCTCCCTGCTGTTAAAAGTAAAGGTCTCTCACATTAATTAGGTACCTAGATGAACTTTACCACCACAACACAAAGATTTTCTACTATAAGCACTTCCAGACTGTGCAAGTAAGGTAGATTATTTTAGATAAGTAATTTGTCACAGTAATATAGGTCACAGAGGGGGAAAAGACATTCAAATTATAGGTAAAACACTACTGAAATGAAGAAAGTTGTATCAGAAATCTTTAAAAAGCTCAGTGTTTTAAATATAGTTTATGTGACTACTGACATACAGGATTAATTATTCTTGGTTTTCTTTTATCTTTAACCACTACCTCTCTTCTTTCCCTTTCACCAAAACAAATTGCTTCTCTCAGCCACTAGGAGGTTCTGCAGGTTAGTTTATTTAATTAGGGAGAAAAAAAGATCCCATCACAACCTTTTGCTGAAAACACCTAATTATTTACTATAACATCAAGTAATACCTATGTAAATCGCAGATTTGAAACTATAGACTTAGGAGTTGCCAGAGAAATTCCCATTTTACGATAATCAAAAGAAACAAATTGGTCAATATGTCAAAAAAAATTGGGGGGGACCACAACATTAAGATTAAAACAAAAAGAATACTTAAATTCCACAAAAAGGGGTAATACAATAGAGAGAAATGAACTTGGTATAAGAAAGATGATCATTTTTTAACATGTAGGTAACATGTAAACATCTAAATGCAAAAAAGTAAAACCTGATAACTAACAGAAGAACATACAGATGAATTTCTTTTTAACCTGAGTATAGGGGAAATGCTTTCTAATAACATAAAATCTAGAAGAGATTTTTTAAAAAAGCAATAAATTCAACTGCATAGGGAGAAGAGGAAGGAACTTTTACATAGAAACAACAACAAAAAACTACCATACACAAAGTAAAAACACTACATTTAGCACCGACAGGAATTAATTCTACAATAAAGCACTTTTCAGAGCCAAAGGGGAAAAACTAAAAGTCAATTTTTTTAAATGAGCAAAAGATTAAAAAAGGACATTTCACATACACTCACAAAAACAAATAAAACAAATGAAAAGATGTTTAAATGCACTCAAAATAAGATTACAATTAAAATTATAATGAGATATAATTTCTCACCTAACAGATTATCAAAAATAGAAAAAGCAAGGCAACTTTTATAGGCAAAGCTATGTAGCAATTGGCAGTCATATATCACTGGAGAGAATGCAAATTGGTACAATCCTTACAAAGGTGATGGAGGGGAATTCTACAATATCAAACAAATCTACATATGTGTTTACATTTTGACTCAGCAGTCCCACTTCTATTAATTTATGCTAATGTTACACCTCTAATACAAAAAATACATATGCACAAGGTAATTCACAGCAGCCCTCTTAGCGGTTGCAAAATATTGAAAACTACTTAAATACTCATGAATAGGAGAATAGTTGAATCAACTATGGAACATTATGCAACTAAAAAGGATAAGAAAAATCTCTGAACCTATATGCAATTATTTCCAGGAAATACAGTTAAGAGAAGAAGCAAAGTACAAAAGCACAAAAGTATGTCTTTGTTATGTATATGCTACCTTATGTGTAAGAAAATTACACATATCTGCTCATTCCTGCCAAAAAATACCCAGAAAAAGTAAATTACAACAGAAGGAATGACACTTGTTTATTTCTGACTTTTGGAACTATGTGTTTCACAGAGTAAAAACACAAATAAAACATAAATAAATATTTAAAAAAAATAAAAAAGAACAGGATAAAATTCTAAGACCAACTACAGAAACAGATGAACCTAACTGTTTTAAATGAATACCCTCATTATGCTACAAGGAAAAATTAAAATAAAAAACAACAACAAAAAAAACAAGGCCAGGTACAGCGACTCACCCCTGTAATCCCAGCATTGGGGGAGGCTGAGGCAGAAGGACTGCTTTAGCCCTGGAGTTCAAGACCAGCCTGGGCAACATACCAAGACTTCATCTCTACCAAAATAAAAAATAAAAAAAACTTAGCCAGGTATGCTTGTGTGTGCCTATAGTATCAGCTACTCGTTAGCCTGAGGCAGAAGGATTGCCTGAACCAGGAGATTGAGGCTGAGGTGAGCTATGATTGTGCCACTGCACTCCAGCCTGGGCAACAAAACAAGATCCCAATTGAAAAAAAAAAATAAATAAAAATCCCTCTCACAAGAGTAACAAAAAAATTACAACTCCAGATGAACTAAGAAAAGTTTAGTACCTACATGAATGATAAAACTTTATATTAAAAACTTGATTAAATGGAGAGAACTGGATGAGATTGTCTAGATTCAAATTCTTGCCCATCTATCCACTTGCTAACCGTGTGACTCTGGACAGACAAGTTAATTTAGAACCTTTGCACTAATGTTTCCTTTTTCAAATAACAACAGTATCAATTTAGCAGTACTAATGATAAGAATTAGGTAAAATTACTCATATAAAATAATACATATGATAAAGATTTGATAAGTATCTGCTATGGTCATTAGCTACTAATCCAAATAAAATCGAATGTGCACATATTCAGGAGACATATAATGGAAACGGAGACGATGTCATAAAAAATATGGAATTTCCTTATTTACAAACAAGAAGGGCTCAAGCAATTTAGAATAGCAAGATCCACATGGCTGCTAGAATCTGTTGGGAAATTTTATAGAGGATGAATCTGACCTGGATATTTATATATGCACATAATTTAGACAGTAGAAGAATGGGATTGAAAGGAAGCTGAATCAAAGCAGAGAGGTAATATAGAAGGAACATATTTCAAGGAAAGTGATACAAAGTTTAGAAAGTTGAATACTTGGAGAAATGGAAAGACTATTGAAGTTTCTGAGTGCACAAGTGAACTAGGAAGATTTTCTCTTCCAGACTATGAAGAATCATAGAAGATTTGTGTGCAGGAGGAACAACACGACTAATCAGAGCTTTGGGATTATTCTGATAGTATGCAAAAGAGATTGGAAGGGAGCCATCCAAGGCAGAGGCTTACAAGTGGTTAAGCCAAATAATGGCAGGGACTAACTAGAATAGTAGTGATAAGAAAGGGAAAGAAGGGGTAGGCAGCAAACACTCTTGCTGCTGTCCTGCCTGTTGTGCCCTTCATAACATATCTTCCTTTTAATAGATCTACCTTTCTTAACTAATAAAAAATGGGAGGAAGAAGGGATACATCAATAAGGCAATCAGAAGGAAAAAGAAAAATCAATCAATTTTGAAACAATTGGATAGCAGGGACAGTCTGAATGACAGAACCATTAGAAGGAAAAAGCAAATCCAAAGATCTGGATATCAACGGGAAGAATATCTGTAGGGTCTTGAAAGTTAAATCAGGACTAGATGCCTCACCAATTTACGATAACAGCACAACATTCAGATATCAAGATCCAGTGGGCATTTGGCAACGTAAGACTAATGCTTAGGAGAGAGGTGAGAACTGGAAGCAAAACTACAAAATTAACAAAAATTATTTAGAATATTCTAGACATTCTAGAGCAGATAGACAATACATTGTGTGTTATTTCAGAGTAATAATCTCCTCTTATTTATTTTTATATTCCTTAATGTTTTACATAGGTCAAGCATATAGGATGCTCTCAGTAAAATGTTAGAGTTGGTCAGAGACAGGAGCAAGGTTACATAATAGCAGAGACCTGATTAGAGCTCATGTCTCCTTAAACTGTCCAATACATCACAACATAAAGATGCTATCTGAATTTCCAGAAATAGGATTCCCTAATGAATTGGTGTAAGAAGTAAAAATAAACAGTAAGAACTAAACTCTGAAATTTCTGGTTTTCATGGGCTGAAGGAAAAGAAACAAGTGAAGACAGCAAAGAAAAATAAGAGTTATGAGGAGAAATAAATAAAGTTGCATCATGGATTAAAGGAAATCTTTTCAAGAAAGGAAATATGGTCAACTGTAGCAAATACTCATATGCCACAGGCAGTGTTTCTCTGGTCTCTTACACCACTAAAGCACAAGGCACGGAACGGTCACTTTTTTAAATTTTAATTTATCTCTCACAGGATTTTAAATACATACATCATTCATAGCAGTGGTTACAAAAGTAATACTGCGATCTTCAGTAAATTTTATTTCTACAAAATAGATGACTAGAAATAAAGTTGCTCACTATAGTAGTTGAGCTGAACAAAAATCTGCACAATAGGTGAATTTTGAAGCAAAAAAAGCAATTTAAAAAGATCATTTATAGTGCATGTATTGTGATAATGACAAAATACATAAAATGCCAGAGTTCTTACCTTAAATCTCTTGTCTTGCAATACTTTCTTGATGGCAACCAATTCTCCTGAATCACAAAGTTTGGCTTGATATACCACACCAAACGACCCATTTCCAATCACTTTAGTGTCTGTATAGCTAACTTCTTGTGGCCTGTCTGGACCCTGCCCTGGAGTAGCCACCACTGTGGTCACCTTGCTGCCGTCCTTGTCTCCTAAAGGAAGAAAGAGATTTTTTTAAAAAAATGAGAACCATGAAGAATTAATTCAATAAAATTGTCAATTTATACAAAGTAAACTATATCCTTGACTATATTATTTTTAAGTATCAATCTTCGTTTATTATATAGAATTTCAACTACTTGTTTCAATTATAAGTAATTTTTTAACCTCTACTTATTCAATCATTTTACAGACTAGGCACCACGCTTAGAATACATACATGATTTCATTTAATGAAAACAATGACTTAATGGAGTAGACAATACTGGTTACCCTTAAAGATAGAGGGATGAATGTTAAATTTGCCCAAGGTCAAATAGAGAATGATGAACCCATCAGGGTTTCACTTTATCTGTTCAATTTTAAAGGCCCTAGTTTTTTTTTCATGGTCTTCTTATTTTACTTGAAAATAAAATATTTGCACATGAAATTATCTAACCATTCTGACCTTTTCTGACCTATTCTGCCTTTAGGAAAGTAAGGCTTTGAGTTTTTGCTTCCCTGTATCTTATTTTTTTTTTTTTTTTAGCAAAGTAGTAGAACACCGCTCAGAGAAAGGTCAGATGGAGAAAAGAATATTAATTTGGGATTAATGGATGCAAACTTAAAAGAAATCATCAAATTGATCCCCATTTACAAGTAGACTGCTTGCTCTGGGGTCTCTGTTCACTCATAGCCCTTTCCTTTGCTATCTAGCCTTCCCTCATCCCAGTAGCAATTCACTGCCTCTCTTCAATGCAAGCGGGAGCCACCTTCTATGTGAGTAGGCATAGTCCTAGACTATCACCACTTTTCTCTGAATTCTTAAACAATTCTTAACTGCATTTTACTACCTTTCACCTGATCTTAAGGAGTTTTATTTAAATTGTTCTTTTAGTGATTTCCACATTCACATAGATTCTACAAAGTAGAATTATTTTGAAATAGCAATTATGCTTTCTGTCTCTTCTCTGCCTTTCTTTTTTTTAATTTTAAAGATGTGGGGTACAATTCAGGATTTCTTCTCTCTTCTAAAACCAATTCTCAGTACTCTCTAAGCCCTTATGCTCAATGACTACATTGTACTTTTTCTTTTGTTACTCTTTCGTTTGATCAGTTTTATTTTTTAAATGCTAACTGAATTCACACTAATCTAATAAAAGAAAAAGTGATATAATATTTATTCATATTTTCCTCTAAAAATATAAATTGTTAGGTAAGTGAATATTCAATATTGGTGGCATATTATAACCAAATTTATATCCATTTAAATTTACAGAAGTTTTAATACAGAGAAAAGCAAATAAGCAATGTCTGCGACTGTGTAACTCTCTTGCATATTAGATGGCCTTTATGACGGAGTCAAAAGCAATAAATGATTCCTACATAAGATAGCTAGGTGAATTACAGGCAGTCTATATTTTCTCATGGCCAGTTATCTTGAACAAGTATGTTTTTCATTCCAAGGTAAAAACAGCCATACAGATATAATTTAATTAGCAAAAATCCAATACCACTTGTGGAAATAAATAAATCTTTCAACACCACTATTTCTATTTATAACAGTATTAAATATGTTTTAAATACAAACCTCAGCATTAAGACAACACAAAAAAGCAGTTTTCAAAGTTTTCCTTCTTGCAAGTTTTCAAAGTTTTCCTCCTTGCAAGTCTCACCTCCTAGTAAAATAAATCTTAGATGCATTTGGTGAAAATCTAATTTAATCTGAGTTCTATATTATTATTCCCCACCCTTAAAAAATTTGACTGTCTTAACCTTAACTACAATTTTTCAGGTTGACTGACTATAAACCCTATGATAAATTATTTTCTTTCTCATTTGTAAAATAAACTTTCTTAACCTGTATTTTAGCAATTCCAAAGACAGAATCACAGTCTTCTGAACTTAAACTCTAAATGAAGAAATTCAGAAGGATTAAAATCCAAAGTATTGAATATTCTTATAACACAACTGTCTCAAAAAGATAAAAAGCAGAAGTGACTTCAAACACAACCTGACTCTTCCCTAGATAATAAAAAGTCAAAATCATAACACCAAAAAACACGATTTCAAGAACTCTGAATTAAAAATTCCACTGAACAAGTTGCTTGCAAAATTTCACACATCTAACTCACAAAACAAAGAACTATTATTATCTTAATTAAGATAAACTAACAGATTTAAAGGATGGTTGCTGTACTCTACAATTTTAATTGAAAATAAAAACTGACTGGGATCAACCAAAAATTAAGCTTTTCTATTGTATAACCATATTTCAGTAGCAAAAATAGGAACCACAGCTTTCTAACTGTTCCAGTAAGAGAGCTTAAGCAATATAAGCATTTGAGATGGCTTTTCCTACTTGTCCTCTCAGGTTGTATTTTTTTTTAAAAAAAAGTCCCATTTCAGGGGTTCAAGAACCAGCTATGAAAGATGTCCATGACAAGCCTAAGATTTAGCATGTCTTCACTTCAATTATTAAGCCTGGGAATGTATATCCAAGCATCATGATTTATAAATGGAAAAAAGCACAGATAATTCTACTAAAATATTAAAAGCAGAGTGGAAAGATAAAACATATAGGCCCTGTGGATGGTATAGTTATTGAAAGAGATTATTGAGGCCTCTTAACTTTAAATTGAGATTTGATATGTACAAGGACCAATGCTTTCATTCCCTTGTACATCTAGAAGAAAAGTATGTTACCATCTTAGCAGGAATTAAAAGATTTACTCTATTCTCTCAGAAACAGTCAGAGAAACTGCTGAGAACTCACAGGCTACACAGTACTCTCTACTAATATACAATGTCTTATATATACTAGGAACAATGGTTCTTAGGTTTTCTATATACTTCAAGCATCCTTAAATTTTTATTTAGAAATCACCAACTTCTTCAGACTGCCCTGTCAGAGATCTGAAATAGTAGAGCTGAAAAGAATGGCAGTGACTTGGCATAAACATCAGGAGCACCATAAGCCAGTCAGCAGCAGTGGTGTGCCAAGGAAAAGCATGTCATCATTTGGCAGTGTAATTTGCCAACTTAGCAGTAAGATAACAGCTATATAAAATTTCACTGTTTACAGAGAACTTTCATATTCATTGTTTCATCTACATTAATAAATTATAATAATGTAGGGACAGACAAACAAGGTGGGGAGAAAGAAAAAAGGCAGGGATATCTTATGTCTACTCTGCAAATAAAGAAAGTAAAATTAAGAGAGATTTAACTTATCATGAAGTTTTAAGTAGCAGAACTCTTCATATGCCTCACACTGCTTCTGCTATACTTTACAATCTTCCTCCTACCACTGAAAGACCAACTCCATATGCTTTTTCCTACACTCCTCCAAACATGTTTCTGATAATGTATACAGGTCAGCTCCAGAGTAAATGGAATAAGAATAAATGAACAATCTTTTATAGTTTTCAGGCTTCAGCTATGTACTCCTTAATAGCAAAAGCTATTTCCAGAGATACCCTGGCAACATTCAGTTTTGAAATTTATCCCAAAACCATATGAAAAATAAAAATGTAAGACAATTGATTCTTTGACAGTCAAACAGCTTAATATTTGCTACTAGAAAATGAATCATTATGGACCATAGAAATAGGGCAACACTACTTCTGAGACCAAAACCCTCAAGAAAAAGTAAACTCATAACAAATCTGCCTCATTTATTAAAAACAAAACAAAAAACAAACAAAAAGCCACCTTGCCCAGTACTAAATTTCCCAGAATACATGGAACAGTGATTCTCATACTAATTATATGACACTACCTAATTATATGACACTAATTTATAATAAATTGATCTTCAAAAAAATGCCACTGTCCTGCAGGTGCAACAACAGCAAAGCAGTGGGAATTACCTCAGTTCCAGGTCCTCTCTCTAGCCAGAGTACTCCTGAAATTCTCTATTACAATTAAAATCCACTCATAGACTCAAATTTTCTACATAATTAGAACAGAATTAGATCCCCTACTCCTAATCACAATAGGTAAATCTTAAATATATAAACCACAATAGATTTTTCAAGAAGCAATGAACAGATGGTAGGCAATAGAACAATCCCTTTCTATTGAAGGCTGTAAAATACAGAATACAATTTTTACAAAAGCCTTAACAAGTTTAGGCATCTTCTAAATGACACATGCAGCCTAGTTCTCAGTCTCTCAAACACAGGATTGTGACTTGCGGTAATATTTTTTGAAATCTTCTCAAGTCATCTCTCAGACCAATTCATCCTGAGATGAACAGATGTAACACTGTGATATGAACCACATCCAAAGTATGAAGTGAACATCCAAAAACCAAAAGGCCACTTCAAGGATATTTAAGTATTCAGGTGGTGTCTGGCATCAACACTCTAATTTGATATGAAGGATAGATCTCAAAACTGAATCTACTTTTGTTCATTTAACAAAGCTATTAAATTTTATGTTTCTTAAAGAGACCAGTTCTTAAAGTCCAGGCCTGAGAAAAAGCTACAACTGAGACTTTGTAACTGAGAGGTTTTTGGAGAATATTAATTAACCATACTACAGACACAAACGGAACAAAGTCATGCCACAATCCAAGAAATACTCTGCTGCCCTTGCTGTGGAGAGCTGAGTCTGCAATGACTGCTCCTATAAAAATCCCCCTTCACCTCAAGAATAAAGTCTCCATATATAAATAACTAGAAGTTTAAAGTCTTGCAAAAAAAAAAAAAAAAAAAAGGCCCTGAGAAACCAGCACAATGTCCGTGACTACATGGAAGATACAATGCATTTTCCTAATATTTTCTACCTAACAATAGTATTAGTAGGGGAAATGGCAATGTCTATCATTCCTCTGTGATGAAGAGAAATAACAGTTATTTTTTAAAGGATGTTTAACAATACAACACTCTATTGAAAAATATGATTATATAAATTACTAAAAAAAAAACTTTGTAATTAAGACTGTCAGAAGGGGAAACACTGGCCACTGTCAATTTTTCAGGTTTCTTTAAGTCAAAGTTCAAGCAAT